AAAAACTAAAAAATAAACTTATGAAGAAATTTTTATTTGTCAGGCTTTCCCATCTTTTTGATACAAATGAAGAAAGGAGAAAGGCAGGAACTAAGCAAAAAAGGTGAACTATATTATTTAAGCCTATCATACGACAATTTAAAAGTTGTTTAACATTTACTTTTGAGATACAGTGAGAGAGAGAAAGCATGCACACGATCAGGGTAGGGGCAGAGAAAGAGGGGGACACAGAATCCAAGGCAGGCTGCATGCTCTGAGTTATCAGCACAGACATGACCTGAGGCGAGGTGAAGTCAGACGCTTAACTGACTAAGCCACCCAGGTGTCCCTGATAATTTCTGATCTAAGTAAAGCAAAATCAAAGTGTATATAAATATGGTATATAGAAATTACATACACAAATACAAAATACGTAATTCTTACTGTGTGTCAAGGCATAGGTAGGTTCTAACTCTGTCTACTTCTCCTTCTAGGAGCTTCTTGATGTGGTAAAGACACCCAGGAATCTGAAAATAAAATTTTTACCTTCCTATTTTAAGAATCGTGGGACTTAAAGAACGGAAGTTACAAAGTTTTTGTAGCAAGCAAACAAAAACATTCGTCTTTTAAATCAATTTAGTTCCATAACCTTGAAAGACACAGCTATCATATCCTTGAAAGGCACAGCTATATGGTCAGTTTGTTTCTATCAAGTCAGAATGTCAGGAATTATTAAACTGGTTACAGCTTGTAACTGGAATCCATGGTTTGAAAATTTAATATAACCAAACAAAAATATAAAATACATAAAGCCAAGGGCTGTTATAAATGAAGAGAAACACTGAAAATTCAACAAAAGCTGATGACTTGGCTACATACAGATCGATGATGTACAGTACATACAGAACGTACATGATATATAAAAGAACATATATTATATCCAAGATAATGGATAGAGTACTCAGACAGAAACCAGCAAGTTAACGTAATACTTTAACAACACTAAACACGAAAAAGTATTTATAGAACACTCCACTCAACAACAGAATACACTTCTGCTCAAAGTGCACACAGAATATTCTGCAAGACAGACTCCATCAAGTCACAAAACAAGCAAATAAATTTTAAATGAATGAAATTATAAAAAACTGTGCTCATTCATCAAAATGGAGTGAAACATGGGAAAATAAGAAAATTTGAGAAAGTCACAAATATGTGGAAATCATACAACACATTTCTCAATAATCAAGGTGTCAATGAAGAAATCAAAGAGAAACTACAAAGTACCTTAAAGTAGGTGAAAATGAGGCTAGAACATACCTAAATTTAATATGGCACCTAACACATTACTTATAAGAAAATTTATGGTTATAAATAATTACATCAGAAAAACAAACACCTCAAAACAAAATAAATTAAAAAAAAAAACCCTACTTTCTACCTAAAGACACTGGAAAAATATCAAAGTAAACCTAAAGTAAATGAAGAAACAATATTTAGCATAGAATTTAATGAGAGAGAAATGAGAAAAAAACAATAGAAAAAAATTAACCATACCAAAAGTTGCTTATTTGAAAAGATCCAGAAAGTAGACAAATCTTTAGCATAACTGACCAAAAAAAAAAAAAAAAAAGAAAAAAAAGAAAAAAAAAGAAAAGAAAAAAAATTGTCAGGAAGAAAGGGTTGTCAAAATTTATAGGAATTATAAAGAAACATGGTCTTTACATTTTAATAATCTTTTCTATGGATATTGAAAGAATTTATAATTATCATCTTGATTTCAAATACCTCTTTATTTTGCACTAGCTTCCTTCCCTCTGCTGCATAGAACCTGCTTGTTTCTTCTAAGAATTTACTCTCAAAAGATTCTTGGTAAATCTAATAATGGAATATGTTAAAAAAAAAACTTAGTTAAATGTTATCTTTAAGATATCACATTAGAAGTCAGTTTCAATTTAATGAAAGTTAAGAAATTACTTACCCGCAAATCGGAAAGCATAGTTACAAGCCTTTGAATCAGACATTGATCAACCATTTCGCCATTTCTTTCTTTCTCAATCAACACAAGAATTCCATCTATGGTCCTGCTACGAACATTCTGATCACAAATTATGTATGATTTAAATAATTCAAGGCCCATATCCCTAAAACAAACAAAAAATCTGCCTAAATTTTGGCTTATATTTTTCCCATCAGTTACACTTCTGCGTATATAATGCATTTCCCACAGTCAAAACAAGATATAACTCGATGTTAAATTCACTGTATCTACAGTTGGATAGATATTTGTTTTGTTTTTTGATGGCCTGAAATCAATAAATAAGATTTCAGTGTAAATAAGGCACAGTGGATGACATGTATAATTCAGCAATTTCTTAAAAATTAAGCAAAATTTAGGACGCTAAAGCTTCTAAACTTACCTTAGATTTGTAGCCTTCATAATAAGCACAATGGTATTAATAATTTCGACATTAATATCAACTTAGTGACCTGCTAGTTTTTTATAACGAAGTATTTCAAACGTGATTCCGTATCCTAGATTAGATTCTAGAACTTCTATGTTTCCTATAAGACAGGTTTTTAAATTGAGGTAAATTATAAATTAACACTTAAAACTGTGTTACCATGTACTCAAATATCATTTTTAAAAAGTCAAAGTTTTATGATACAAAGCAATACACATTTTGAAAATGATTTTTCTCTTATTGTGTTTTCTCTCAGAAGATAAAGGAAGTGACTATAAATCACATGTAACAGTTTTTTAAGTAATTATTTGTATCTTACCAAATTGAAGACATCATCAAATATTGAAAAGCATAAGTTCTATCTAGGAACAGAAAAATGTTCCTAATCATGCTCTGTTAGAAATAAAAAAATAAAGGTAAAACATTACGTCTCAAAGATTTTTGGTTAAATTATCATTCCATCAAACAAAAACTTAACTCTTAAGGAAAGCACGTAATTTGTAACAGTCTTCTCAATCAAACATGGGCAATAATGTATTTATTTCTCTTGTAAAGATACCCTTTCAAATTTTTCACTCTTTTCTACACTGCTAGTTCTTAAATAATAAAGGGTAATAGAAATATATAAAGAAAATGTATTCATGGGTTATTTTATGTAAAAACTGCTGATATATGAACATTACTGGTAAGTATAGTTTGCTCAAGAAATCTTTGAAATCCAAACGCCTACATATATAT